AAAAAGAAAAAATAAACTACGTAAGTTCTTGATGGGGAGGGTGAAAGAGAACTTTTTTCTGAATAAAATGTAAAACATTGGACCATAAAAATGAGTGTGACTCCAGGGAGACATCATTAGTGTAGAGGGAACAGTCACTGGAAAGATGCAGAAGTGATCAAGGGGATACATAGTTTCTCAATAGTAGTGAATAATCTTGATTATGTAAATGGTTGCTCTAAATGGTTATTATAAAAGAAAAAGTTATGATAGGTTGTGTCCAGATTTGTGGAAAGTTTCAATGTTATACTAAATAAATTGAAGCTACTTCTTATTAAACAGGAGACAAAGAAAAACTTTGAGGTGTTGGCATAAATTGAACTATCATAGGTGAAGATTGATGAGCAGACTTATGAATCATTAAAAAAGATGAAAGAAATAAGTAAATGGACACTGTGATCATGGTGACAAAGGTTTGAATTGAGGAAGAAACAGTGAGAATGAAAAAGTAGACAGGGTGTACATTGGGAGAAACCTTACAAAGAGACTCAATCAATCCTGATTACTGATTAGATACAAGGTTGKAGAAGAAAAAGGAGTACAAGACAATCACCTGTAATTACAAGTCTTAGTAACTAAAAAGTGCCATCGTCAGGAATAACAAATGAGAATGCTTTTAGAGAAAAGGTGATGAGTTTTGGGGTAGTTTGTTGGTTTAGAGATAGCCACCCTGTGATGATTGGTCCAGAACAGTGAGAAATAAGACTAATGATTCAGATTTAGACATTTATTAARTGGAGTTCAAGTTGAAGTTGTTAAGTAGATAAAATTGCTCAACCTAGAAGTTTCTATAAAAAATAATACAGATCTAGAAGAGTCTTGAAGAATGTCTTCTTTTGAAGTTTAAAGGAAGAAGAAGAAATAGAGGCTGAGAAAGTTCAGATTCAGAGAGCTCCATCAGAATTTGCTGTTAGATAAGACAGTTTTCAGTGGAAGATGAGATTGTTCCTCTAGAGATAGAAGTTTTCCAGATGGAGCAACATATAATGGTAACTGAGCATCCAAAAGTATATGGTGAAAAATAGGTAGCAGTTTGGTAATTTCAGGGTACAGGAAAGGTGCTTTTACACTGGTATGTCCTAGCTGATAGGAAATAAAAAGCCAATGAAGAAGAATATGGAWATATAATTAAAAAGCAGAAATAAGTTAGTTATTGTTGTGTTTTGGTTAAATATGAGTTGTTCCCCCAAACRCTCATGTGTAAGACAATGCAAGAATGTTCCAAGGTGAAATGATTACATTATGAGAGCTGAAACTTAATAGGTGGATTAATCTACTGATATGGTAACTATAGACAGGAAGGGTGTAGCTGGAAGAAGTAGACCACCAGAAACCTACCTTTGGGATTTATATTTTGACTCTGGTGAGTGGTGCTCCCTCTTTCTCTCTCTGTTTCCTGATTGCCATGTTCAGAGCTGGAGACTATCATGCTAAGTGAAATAAGCCATTCCTAAAAAACCAAAGGCCTATTCTCTTTGATATGCAGATGCTAACTCACTATGGGGGCAGGGAGTTGGGAGGTTGGGAAGAACATTTGTACTTTGGATTAGACAAAGGAGAATGAAGGGAAGGGAGGGAAAATGGAAGAGGAAAGATAGTAGAATGAATCAGACATTCCTTTCCTACATGTATATATGATTATACGACCAGTGTAATTCTACTTCATACTCAACCACAGAATGAGATGTTACATACCATATAAGTATAATATGTCAAAATGCATTCTAGTGTCATATATAACTAATAATAACAAATAAAAAATTAAAAATATAAGATAAAACTTAGAAAGTACTGGGGAAGTGGCTCAGTGGTAAAGAACCTCTTGGTTTATCCTTAGTAGCAATTTTTTTTTAATGAAATGTTTTACTATGGGATTTATAATTAAAAGTTCCTCAATAGGTAGTTCTGAAGATTYGAAAAGCATAAGACTTGAAAGAAGAAAGCCAAAGTCAAAGAAAATAGAAAACAAATTTCTTAATAGTGGCTAAATTACTCACTGGCTTACAAAACATAAAAATTTCTGGATATCTTATTATGTTACATARGAAGAATTGTGAACCAAAGCCTAGAGGCTAAATCTGATCTGCTACCTGCCTTTGAATATAAACTTTTATAAAACTACAGCCAWGCTATCTTCCTGTGTTCCTTCTTTCCTTCCACCATTTTTCCCTACAGGCCCCAGCCCCTTTCTTCCTTTTGATCCTTTTCAAAAAAACATTTACTAAATGTTTATATACAGCAATAAAAGAGTTCTGAACTTTGGCCCATCTTACAACTAAGCTCTTCATGTGAAATCCAGTATAGACCCAACCAAGATATCAATTATTCATGCTCTCCCCTACTTCCTGAAAAACACTTAYACATTGTAAATAACCATAGAGAATGTTGATTTTTTGACTCTTTGCAGCAATACATTTTGASCCTGTAACTTCAAAATGCTGAATGTCTTTGTTGAGAGACTTCTTCACATATTTTTCCTACCCTATTGTACTGGTAATAATCTATACAATGGGAACTGAAAGGTAGCTTAGTAGTAATCACTTACTTAATATGTGCAAGGTCCTAGGTTCAATCCCTAGCACTGCAAAAGAGAAAACCATAAAGAACTTTATGCTTTACACATTGGAAGAATTTGATTCCCTATTATCATATTTTTARTGCTGATTATCTTCTAATAAAGTTTTAGAAGATAATTTTTTCTCTGACTTTCTAGTCATATCTCATTTTCATTCYATTAAGTATACAGTTGACAATATTCTTTTAATATAGTTTAAAGTTATTACTGAGCAAATTTATTAATGGTAGCACCTCATGGGGTTGTTCAGAGATTTGTAACTTAGCTTCCATGAAAGCGTTTAGTCTAGAAAAATTTTGAATGAGTTACAAATTGTTAGTTATAAATAAAGTGCCACTACTTTCAGTGCTGGGAAAGAGAATTTTCRCTATGTCTTTTATTCAAACCAAATGTAAAACAGAACAAAAAAAAATGGTTTTGAATGATAAGAAGACATACTCAGTTGCCATGATTGATTTGAAGACATTGCAACAGTGGGATTATTCTAGGAAAGGTACATAAACTYATTTTGGCAAGATACTGAAATTTACAACCAACAAAAAATAAACCATGGGAATTCAGTGTATTTCTTGGGAGGAAAAAGCAGCTTTTATTCACCAATCCTTACTAAGGTCTATAAAGAGAATCTTTCATAATTTTAAATACACCTATCTATATTATGTAATCTACAAATTTTCCAATAGTAGTTTTACCAAGTATAGTTGAAATTACTCTATAAATAACATTCTTCCTTCCTCTTTACCAAGTACAGTTGAAATTTCTTTATAAATAACATTTTCCTTCCTCTATATGAGTATTTGTATGCTTATTGTTAGTGAAGAATAAGTAATATTTTAGGGAGTTCTACACATTTTTGTGGTGTTAACCCTCAGGAATTCCTACAGAGTAAGAATTATTATAATCAATGCATAGGCTCTGTTTGAGGCATCTTGGTATTAGCTGGAGGAATAATGAAGGCACATAACTGCTCAGCGACACTAAGCAAGACTAGAACCTGGACCTCTTGATTCTAGAACCAATCTTCTTTCTCTTAAATTTTTCATAATATCATGAATCTTTCTTCTAATAAGTCCCAATATTTGTAAGTATGAGTCTTCATGTCTAACAAATGTTATTTGATATCTCATTCACCATAACATAAGATATAAGCTGACTATACTTCAATATTCTCCTCTAAAAATGAATAAAATAAAACCAGTTACCTCATTCCAAGCTGTTCTAATGTTTTAATGGTAWCAGAACACGTGGCATGCACTAAATAGTCTGTAAATAGTCAATATTATGGTAAAGAGTTTTGTGGCTGGATTAAGCAGATCTAATTAGCAATTTTGCCTTATCTAGAAGAGTTTAGGGAAAGGATGCTTCAGGACCATTTTACATCATTCCCTACTTACAATGTATTGCTKCAGTATCAAGAATCAGCACCAGGGACAATGCAAAATGTAAAATAGAAGTGCCACTTAACAATTATATTTGGCTATAGATGTTTTAAATAGTATTATCAAAGCTCATTAATAAAATTACCATCTAAGACAAGTAATATAAAGCAAAATCAAAAGTGTTTCTATTATTTATAAGAATGTTGAATGAATTCTGCCTCTATTCCACAGAGGTATTCATGCATGTGATGGCAGGAAAAAATAAAAGACACATCCATTTCTAAAGAATAATGTCTGGGACTTTTTCAACTGTTAAATTATTTCAATTATTTTATATTACCTTAAAAATCAAATAGATTAAGCAGCATATTATAATCTAAATGACCTTTTTTTTTACAACCATCCTGACAAAAGTAAATTTATTAAAGAGGAAAGAGTGGGCTGAAATTTAAATCASATTTTTAGTAGAAAAAGACCAAGAGATCACATCCAGAAATCCTTTGTCTTCTGCCTCTGTTTCTGTCAAATATAAATTACTAATTATCAATATAGATAGATTTTTAGTATTGGGAAACATGCAATGTTTTTTTTTTCTCACAATTACTCAGCTATTGAAGGAAAGGCAAGATAAATTCCGAGAGCAAAAGGTCTTAATTTATAGGAAAAGAGAAATATTCAGTTGTTTACATGTTTCTGTGTGTATACATGAGCACAAACACAGGAATTTAGTTAAATACAAGTATCCAAAGATAATTATCCAAAGACTTACATATTATTTAATTCTCAACTCCGTTAACAACCAACCTGGGATGTTAGAATCATTGTTCAAACTCATCCTTAATTTATTTAATTATAAAATGAGAATATTGATTCTCATTCAAATTGATGATGTTTGAAAGAATGTATGTGAAAACCCTTTTTGCTTTGAAATGCAGTACATTTGAAGAAATGATTGTTGGATTTTTATCTATACAAAATATTAACCAAAATTTAAATGTTTTCCTCAGGTGATCCGGAAGGGAGAAGTCAGCTGTTGTTGGACCTGCACRCCTTGTAAGGAGAATGAGTACGTCTTTGATGAGTACACCTGCAAAGCATGCCAGCTGGGTTCCTGGCCCACTGATGACCTGACAGGTRCATGTATCACAATCTCATCCCCTTCCTCTAAAATCAACTGAAAACAGCCAAACACAGTAGAAAAGGATGACATCTTCAAGTATTTCTCATGTTAGGTGGTCTTATTTATGGGACAAATAATTCCCTAAAGAACACAAGCCTTCCCAAAGGCTGAGCTAATCATGACAATCTATAGATATTGGGGAGGATCCATCTATACCTCTCTCCTCATCCCAAATTAGATCAAAATTCCTAGACTGTCAACCCATCCTCAAGACGTTCCTAGAGATTCATAAGCAGGGATTCAGTTAAGTATGCAATTTAAGGAGCAGAGGGGAACATATTACCTAAGAAAAGACTGAAATATATTACAACATATTCAAGAGCAAATAGTAGAGCCAAATTGTGTAGAAATTTGACAAAAATTATTTGCTACTCTTTTTTATTTTAGTTGTAAATGGCCACGATACCTTTATTTTATGTATTTATTTTTATGTGGTGCTGAGGATGAACCCAGTGCCTCACACACGCTAGGCAAGCTCTCTACCACTGAACTACAACCCTAGCTCCTAAAATTATTTGCTGTTCTTAATGCTTTTCCTTATTTGAAACCAGGAGCCTCTTACTAATAAGAGCTTTTAAATTAATGTTGTCTCAGGTCAAAACTTTCCAATGCTTGTTTATTTTTTGCTTTTTTTTTTTTTTGTTCTGGATTGGCTTTTTTGTTTTCAGTCCAAAGAATGATTGTCTRTATCCTTGTTTTTTCATTCTATATTTTAAAGCCACTTCACATTTTCACAATACCAAAGCTGATATGTCTCCTCCCAACCTTGCTTCCAACTTTTCATCAATATACTCATAGTGTCCTTTTTGCCTACTAATGAAAAAAAGATATATAAATTAAAATACTGTCCTTACCTTTAAGAAACTCACAGTTTTAATGTGGAATGGTAAAAAGTAAAATTTATTACAATATAATGTGGGCATAGACTTCTGTGCAGGAGAGAATGGGGAGGGCACCCATGGGGTACAAAGGAGCACTCTAGGCAGAGGGCTCACCATGTGGTATGTCAGGCCATCTAGTGGCCAGCTTAACCTTCGGTATTCAGATGGATTTTAATGCTGGAAGATCATAAGGTCATCAGTGTTAGACTCCATCCCTCACAGGATGAGAGATTGTTCATGCTAGTTTTATTAGCTTACTTCAAAATCCTGGGTATACAAATCCTGTGATCCTGGACCTTTTGAAACTTGCTTACATTACAGTTTTTTAGCAATTGGTATTCATACTGAATAATTTTTTATGTTTTCATTAGTGCATTATCATTACACAAAGTAGTGGGATTCATTTAGGTAAAATCATATCTGCATGGAACATAATTTGCTCCCCTTCAGCCCCTAGTACTTATTCTTTCCCTTCCTCCTTCCATTAAAATTTGATTTAAGAAAACATCCAAGTACTTTGTAATAACACTTGAGTCCAATTTTTGCTGCCAGGCAAGTTTTCTGATGTTCTTATTCATCTTGGTATACCCAGTGCTTGAATCAATGTTGAATTTAAAGCCTTTAAGAAATTTTATGAAACAGATGAACTACTGTGTATGTGTGTATGCATGCATGAACATTTACATGTATACACATATGTTCACAAAATTTAAATGCTGGGGAAAAAGGTATTATGATTGGATTTCTTGGAAGTGAAACAAGGAACAATATTGGTGACACTTCCTTTACATTGATTTTATATTTTTCTAATTTCAACCTGAATTATTGCTAAATTTTAAAATTTTTTGCATGTTCAACTATCTTTCATAGGGAAKAAACTTGTGGGCAAATACAGTTGTTCCTTGGAGTCTGTGGGGGATTTATTTCAGGACCTCCCACATATACAACAATCTCCTGATGCTCAAGTCCAATACATAAAATCGTGTACTATTTGCATATAACAGGCACATCATCTGTATACTTAAAGTCTTTTCTGGATAATTTGTAAGACAAAAAAAATGTAAAAGGCTATGTAAATAGCTGTTAAAAAGGATTTTTTAGGAAATAATGACAAGTAAAAAAAAGTCTATACTTGTTTAGTACACATGCAGGTTTTTTTTCAAATACCTTGATCCACATGCATTTGGTTGAGTCCACAAATATAGTACCCATGAATAAAGCATCAGACTATATATAAATGTATATTTTGTCCTATATGAGACTTTGCTGCTGAAAATGAAATTGAGCATAACCTGTTATTTTATTAATTTAATAAGTATGTTTCTTATTATTACTATTTTCATTACAGTAATGGGTAATAGAGAAACTGAATTGAAAACCATTCATGGTTCCTACATCTCTTGGTCCCCAAGTAGTGTCCTTATATATCTTACCATATTGGGGGAGCAGACACACATGTGCACACATTGACAAATTGTGTTAAGTATGAAGTAAAAGAAAAGGAATTAAAAATGAAAATATTAGAGAATACATTGAGGTCACAAAAGGTTTCTCTGGAGAAGTGAAAATTAGCTGATACCAATATAATAATAGAAATAACTAACATGTGATGGGGAGAAGAGCATTTTGTACCAAGAAAACAGCACACATACAGGTCTGTATATGGAAAAGCAGTTTGAAGCATGGTATCAGAAGAGATAAAGAAGAATAACAGGGGCAAAATCTTGTACAGCCTAAGAACATGCTCAGGGTTTACATGATTTAACTGTAATGAAAACCCATTATAAGGTCTCAATGGATGCAAAAACATTACTACTCAAGGWATACTTTTAAAAATAGCATTCTGATTGCTGTGAAGGAGAAAAAAATGGGTAGAGGTGGAAGGTAGGAACGGGTAGACAAATTGGATGGTTGTCACTACTGAGTTCTCAGTCTCCTGAACACAAGAGTGATTTGGAAGTATATGAGACATACTTTGGTATAGAATTGATAAGTTATTTAAAAAGATGTCAAGCTTAATGTCTTAAAGATTGGARAAAGAGATACATCCTTTCATAAAAACTAAGAGTTTAAATTTTTATCAGATAGGTTTGAGGTGCTTTTGAGATTATTAAATGGGAATTAATTCATTTAATAAATTCAGTCATTAGTTTGTGCCAAAAAATATAATAGGTTCTAGAATCACATATATATGCTCTAAGTTTTTAAAAAACTCAGAGTCTAGTGGGAGAAAAGCATGTAAACATATAACAKCACAGTGAAGTTAGCACTAGAGGTGAGCAAGAAATGGGTATTGAAGACAGCATTGTAAACTTTGCAGAATTTGGGAAGCTTTACTCTTAAGGCATAAGTGGAAGCTCACTTTAACAAAGTGACCATGAATATATGACAAATTAGCTCTTTCAGAATTATTAACACCACAATCTAAAGATCAAGGAAGGGCTGTTGTTTTTTTTTCTTTCTTTTTTTCCTCAGTATAATATGTGTGCACGTTTTATTTGTTGTCTGTTATCTAAGAGACTTTCTGTAAAGACTATTCTTCCCACTACTCATTCTATTTTATCCCCCTTTCTAATCATCTTTCCAGAGGAACAAGTATTCTTTTGGTTAATGTTTTTTATTAGTGCATTATAGTTATACATAATAGTGGGTCTCATTTTGATATAATCATACATTCCTGGGAATATAGTTTGCTCCATTTCAGTCCTCAATGCTTCTTCTTTCCCTTCCTTTCTCTCTCCCCGTCTTCACCTTCCTCTATTCTAATGGTCTTCCTTCCATTTATTTGTTATTTTTATCTGGTGCATTATAGATATACATAAAGGTGGCATTCACTGTGGTATAGTCATAGAAGTACATAGAAAAATTTGATCAATTCACTCTGCTGTTCCTCCCTTTTCCAATCCCTCTTTCTTCCCCCCTCAATTTTCTTCCTCTGCTCCACTGATCTCTCTTCTATTTTCATCCCCTTTTTTTTTACATTTTGTTAAATCTAGTTTTTGCATATGAGAGAAAACATTTGACTGTGCATTTTCTGAGTCTGGCTCATTTCACTTAGCATGACATTTTCCAGTTCCGTCCATTTACCAGCAAATGCCATAACTTCATTCTTCTCTATGACTAAGCAATACCCCATTATGTTTATATACTRCATTTTCTTTATCCATTTATCTGTTGATAGGCACCTGGATTGTTCCATAACTTGGCTATTATGAATTGCACTCCTGTTGCTCTTTCCTGTGTCTATATCACCATATTATTCTAATTTTAGATCTTTTGGATAAACACCAAGGAATGCAACAACCAGGTCATATGGTGGTCCTATTCCTAGTGTTTAGAACAATCTCCATCCATCTTTTCAAAGTGGTTGTACTAATTATCAGTTTCACCAAAAATCTATGAGTATACATTTTTTCCACATCCGCACCTGCATGTATTATTATTTGTATTCTGGATGATTATCCTTCTAACTGGAGTGAGATGAAATCCCAATGTCATTTTGATTTGCATTTCTCTAATTGTTAAGGATGATGAAAATTTTTTCCATATTTATTGGTCATTTTTATTTATTCTTTTGAGAAATATCTATTTAATTTTTTTGCTTATTTGTTGACTGAGTTGAGGTTTTTGATATTATTTTGAATTCATTATGTATTCTGTGTATTAATCCTCTGTTAGAARAATAACTGGCAAAGATTTTTCTCCCATTCTGTAAGCTTTCTCTTCATGCTCTTTTTTCCTTTTTCCTTTAAATTTGATCCTGTCCTACTTTATTTCATTAGTTCATTGTGTTTTTTTCTTCTGTGCAGTCTCTCCATCTATTCTGATAGTTTTAATTCTTCCCTACATGACTCCCATATTGATTATTGTTTTTATTTCTTGAGCTTTAGGAAACTTATTTAAGAAGTGGATACCTGCACCAATATGTTGGAGTGTKGAGACTATGCTTTCTTGTGGCAGTTGCAAAGTTTTGGTCTAATTGGTAGGATTTGATCCACTTTGAGTTGACTCTGGTACAGTCTTTTGTACAGAGTTTCCTCACATTGAGTTCATCAAAGCAATTGGTTTACCAA